ATAGAAACAAACAAATAATACAACATCGTTGTGTCAAAAACACAATAACAACATAGGCAAATGAAAAGGAGCAGAAAGAAGAATAAAATCTTTTAACATCTGCCCCCAATAAAAAATATATGTATCTAAAAAAGTACAAATGAATGAATGAATGAATGAATGAATGAATGAATGAATGAATGAATGAATGAATGAATGAATGATACTTTATTGATCCCATGAAGGGAAGTAACCCAGAATTCAAAGTATTTTACTTTTATTTCCCCAATTATTGTGTGCAGTTTTATGACTTTCATTTATCACTGAAATAAAGTTTTACCAAAATTATTTTCTGTTAAGATATTTTAACTTTGTCTTGTTTTTTATCTTAAATACTTTATACACGCCTCTGTTATTTTAAATTTATAATTCAGACTTGTTAAAGTGGGGTTCTGTGGGGAAAAAAAAGAATCAACAATTGACATCTTACCTGTTGTAGATAGTGTATCTCTTTGAATAATTAAGAGTTTAACTCTGAATAGACTGATGAACTCACAACTAGTCTGAGCAGACCTAAACCCAAAGTGGATTGGTGTCATATTAAAAAAAAATCTTATATCAAAACCTTTAGAATGTTTGAACTTTTGTGCAAACCTTTACATTATTCTCACTTTTACAATAAACATCATGTTTCTTTGCTTGTGACCTGTCATAGTTTATGTGTATTTATAAATTTTAGCAACCATTAGGTTTATAAATTTGTATTTGCATGAACTGCTATAACATGGGAGCAGCAATCTATTTGATGTTTTGACCCTGCTTTGCTTGTTTATAAAATAATAAAYTTAATTTCTCTATAATGAAGCCATTCAAAAAGTCACATACAACAGGTAACATATAAAAAAAATCTGTTTAATGAAACACATCTTTTATCACTATTGTTTTATGACATTTGTTTGCTGTAATGTATTTCCTGCTGCACAGTTTTGTCTGTTACTTTCCAGTAACTATGAACAGGTGTTAGCAGTTAGCAGCTGGCTGGTATAGGAGTCTCACCTGGTCTGCCCCATAAAAAAAAGTAAGGGATCTAAAAACCGTCAGTTTTTTTTTTCCTTTTCTGTGTTTTGACAGCAGAGAACTGGGAGGACTTTTCTGCGAGTTTTCTTAGTCAAGGCTGGAGGCCAACTCCTCACCACTACCGCTCAAGTGAAAGAACCATGGTTGTGGGAGTGCACTTCAAGGTTCAACCTTAGGAGGCTAATTGGCAAAATGGCACACACTGTACTGCCCTTGAGATAAGAAAGTCTAATAGAGGAGGTTGTGTTCAATGAGACTATATTTAGTGTTGCGTCGTAAGGATCTGGGTATGCTCTGCCTTGTCAGACTGGCTTTACGGTACGTAACGTACTGCTGGTTTTCACTCTGTGCCTCACCCCTCACCTCTCTGAGATACTGTACTTCTTTTGATCAGCACATTCTGGCATCAAATGAACATGACTTTTGTTTATACTTTGTTCTGACAGACCTTGGTCATGAAGCACTGTGAGTGACTAGTTAACATCAGTTCAGCACATATTTCTGAGCAAGTAGCTCAGATGATGAAGCGGTCATCTGCCAGTGGAAAGCCTGCTAGTTAAGTCCCCAACCATGAGCGTTTAGATATTTTTAACATACTTTAAACCAGGGATTCTTAACCTTTTTGACCTCGGGGCCCAATTTATTGAACATAAAGTGGCACGAGGCCCAGTCAGACATTACCAATGTATGGATCAAAATGATAATTATTCTAAATCTTGGTTTAATTTTTATTGTATTTACATTATAACTAAAATAAATACACTTACATTTTAAAAGTAAAACTTTTATCAAATAATCAAAAGACAAGATTATGACAATTTTTTATATTGTAACCTGCCCATAACAATTATTTGAACAATTACAAAGGTCAGTCAACAGACCACTCAGGGTTATCGACACAAAAATATATATTTTTTAACATAGATAACAAAAATAGAAAATTCAATAAATAAAATTGTGGGCATAAGATAAATAAATTAAAAATGATTAAATGTTTGAAATACAAAAAACTGTAAAACTGATTTTGATAAAGTACAAGTGAAAATAAAGCCCTTTTAAACTTTTGCGTGGTAGAAACAGAAGCTGCTGCTCATATTAGTGACAAACAACAGTAACTACAGCTTTTTGACAAGTTTAAAGTTTCTTTAAAATACATTAAAATATTTAAAATTGAACTACAAAAATAATTTGATAAAGTGCAAATTAAAATATAGTTGTAACTATATTTGATAATGTTTTGAACTTTTAAAATACTGCATGATAAAAACAGAAGCTGTACTTCATATTAGTGACAAACTTTGGCCTTTTGTGATGGGTTACCTTCATTTTTGCTTCTACTTTTCATTTAAAATAAGTTTCCATTTTCTGCAGGTATCTAAGTTTCTTCTTCTACATATTAAAAAGGTTGTTAAACATATGAGTGTCGCACTACTGTTCCTAGTGATGAGAAAGTATATTGCACCTTATTCAAAATCAATGGGGTCCCACTGCCCTCTGCGGCCCAAAGTTAAAAACTGTTGTTCTTTTGAGGCCCACAACTGGGCCACGGCCCATAGGTTAAGAATATCTGCTTTAAACATTYGGATATAAGAAAAATAAAAAAGTCACTTGAAAACAGAGAAAAAAAACACTAAACACCTGATAAACTATAATCACTCTTCTTCTTTTTTAAGGCACAGAGTTTAAATACAAAGTCTGTTTACCAGAATGCTGGAAAAGATTTTTGCTTTTTTTTTCTTGCAGAAACCTTTTTGCAAGTAATTCTCACATACTTTCACAATTTCTGTGTGGAACCTAAACACGTATTGTGAAACTRTTGCTTATATTTAACCTTAAAGACATATCTTTCAACAGAGTTAGATTGAGTTTTACTTTGATAAAAAATATGATCACTTCTTTTGATAAAGGCTGAGAAACTCAAGTATGGGCTTCTGACTAGTAAAACCTTTATACAGCCCCATATGTTTACTAAAAGATAGATAAATACTCAAAATTAAAATTCTAACGATACATTTTTGAGCCTTTGTGCACACTGGAGCTATGATACAGATACAGATGCTAGTGCTGTTGATTAAATAAACTGTCAGTAACAACACAATCTATTGTTTTTACAATTTGACTTCACTTAGTTTTGTTGCACAAAATGAAACAACACTAGAACCATCCATTTCCCATGAAAAACGATGACCAGTGTCTCATAGTTTAAGGCAGAATGCAGCCAGATGTGTATTATCAAATATACTTTGTGCTGCAGCTCAATAATAGTACTTTATCAGATATTTGAGTGCAGTTACAAATACAGCCATGTGCTTATTTGAATCAATGTTGCTGCTAATGAATGCAGCTCAGTGCGGACTGATAAAGGCATTGTTGGCTCACACAACAGCTTATCACACCTGGCTCCACATTGGAAAGTTTACCAATAAACAAACAATATGCACTCGTTATTTTTTATCCTTTGGAGTGAAACCATATGAGTTTGTTTGCTGAAGCCCAATAAACTGCAGTCGATGCTGTAAACAGATGTGCCGTTTTGTAGGTGTGTATTTCAGTCAACTGCTCTTGAAATCTGCCAATTATTATACTTGTTTTTACCACCAAAAAATGGCTTTAATTCAGTCAGTTTACAGATATTGAGCTAAACTTTGATGAAATAAGTCACCCACGACACAGCACGAACAGATTTAGTGAGATCTCACAAATTTGAATAAAGTTGTGCAAAGAATTTACAAGGTTTGACCAAAACACCTATATTGTTATTCCATCTCATCAAAACTTGGTCATTGTTTAATAATCTGGCCTAAAATGTCAGCAGACATCATGCATTGTTTCAGCTTGTTTACATTTTTGAAAAATGTTCATCCCAGAAGCTGAAGCTGCAGCGCTGCTACATTCATTAGTTTGACTACTTTGAAGTCCAGAAATGTTTGTCTCCTACAAGACTTCATTTGGGCTGATTAATCTCTTAGGCATCTACATGAAGAAGTGATGTCATCGCCTGAAGCGTCCATTTCTTAATGACCCCTCAGGGGTGAAACTCCTGGTGAAAAGCTCAGGTTTCTTTTCCCTCCACAAAAGTCAGACTCTTCCAGGCCAGCCTGAAGGAGTCTGACTCCCATAATAATAAAAAAAAACTTTAAAATTAAATGAACCTCCCCTCCTACTATAGCAGACTCTGACAACTTTAGATTGAGTTGCTGCAGCAAACATTACATTTAACCGGCACATTCATAATTGCTTTCTGTGCAATCCCAGGGCTTTTTATTTTATTTTAAAACAAAACAAATCTGCCCGCCATAGGTGTGAATGAATGTGAACAGAAGGGGGTTGGAACCATGTGAAGCTTTTTGTCCACCTCTGCTATTTAATGAGCTGAGTGATTTCTGGCTTTTTGACCCTCAGCGGTGGGGAAAACAGGCAGGTGATTCGGTAGGGTGCCCTAAAGATGCAGATGTCTGAAGTCAGGAGAGGTTTTTTTTTTTTCTGTGTGTGGCACTAATAAGCAGCTTTGTCACACAGCTCCTTTTACCTTTATTGTGTGTGTGTGTGTGTGTATGGAGAGGTTTTTTTTTTTTCTGTGTGTGGCACTAATAAGCAGCTTTGTCACACAGCTCCTTTTACCTTTATTGTTTCACAGAGGAACACAGGAGTCGAGGAGATTCAGTGATTTTCAGCAGGGGCCTGCTGTGCTGATTCATATGTTTGTATTCTTACATAAAGGTTGCCCTTGCATCATCGTGACTCCAAACAATTCCCTCTTTTGGGTTGATATATTTAGTAAAAGTCTGGTATTTAACTGTGCGAGTTATATTTTTGAATATTCTTTGCATATTTAACTCTAAGTTACAGACTTCTTAATGTGTTTGATGATAATCTGATACACTTGCATTCAGTGTCGWGCCTTAAGGAATGGTTTAAAATGTGACGAAATGTTTCTGTTGCAGGTGATTAAAGTTTATGATGAAAATAATATCAGCAAAGCTGTCGAGGTTCCCACTGACGTCACTGCCCGAGACATCTGCCAGCTGTTTGTCTTAAAGAATCACTGCATTGATGACCACAGCTGGACTCTTATTGAACACCTCACACATCTGGGCATAGGTATGATGTGGTTTAAAATAAAATTAAACCTGCAGGTGGGATTTTTCTCAAATTATTAAACTATATGTTTTCTTCCACTGTTGTTTCATTGTATAGTTAATGCAAATAAAAAAGAATAAATGAAAAGAATAACAATTTTTTTAAATATTTTTATGCACTTTTATACTTTTAGAAACAACTCAAGGGTTTTGTGTTTTCTGACCTGGAGTAGCGTAACAAACATTCATTTACATGAGGTGTCAAACAAAGTTCTGCTCCAGCTGCTTTAAAACTCAAGTTAGCGATTTCCTTTTTTAAAACGCCACAAGTGCTGTACATTTTGATCACTATTATAGTAATATATAAAACAAGCAGCTTCATTCAATAAACAAGGTGGCCACTGGGCATGTATGTAAGGTTCCTAATTGTGTTCATAGATTATTTCACATATGTGGTAGAATTTAAAATATGGGCTTTCTACCTTTTCTGAACCATTGACTAGAACATTTGTTTATAGTCACTTTGCCCTAATATTACTAAAAAATGTTTCATTTGGCTGTCTGTGCATGTGTAACCTTTATAAAAAGTAAAAATAAAAAAAGAATAAATGAAATCCTGGAAATAATTTTTGCAAACTGTTGGGCTACAGAGGCTTAAAAAAACAATAAGAGAAAAAAACAAGGTTAATGATTCAACTTACAATTTACTTAATTACATTTTATCTATAAAACACTGCAGTTGCTAATGAGGTCACTTACATAAACATGTGTTTTTGAGTTTATTTTGATATTACATCTGATATTAGTTATAGGTGCAGTTTGAGTTTCTCCTGGTTTATTTTTCCCTCCTTGTTTCCCTCAGAGAGAACCATTGAAGATCATGAGTATGTCATGGAGGTGCTATCAGGGGGAGGGATGGACACAGACAGTCGGCTCTGTTTTAGGAAGAATTATGCTAAATATGAATTCTTCAAGAAACCTCTGGTGAGTTTTGAAAGAAGATTTTACAGGATACAATCACATTCCCAGATGTAAAAAAAAAAAGGTTTAAAATGTTAAAGTCAGATGTTGCTTTCAAACTCATAGGCATTTTTCCCAGATCACATGGTTTCTATATCCACTGAAACTAATGGAGCGCTGGTTCACTCTGAGCTTATTGAGGTGAGCTTTTTTTTCTGTTGACTGTACACTTTTAAATATTTTCAGCACCAATGATTTTCTTAAAAAATGTACTGAAAACACATACTTGTGGACACTTTTTTTTTCTCGACCCAACGCAGACTTTTCTCAAATCCAGCACTTGTCCAGAGATCCATGGGTTTCTGCACGCCAAAGAACAAAGCAAGAAGTCCTGGAGGAAGTTCTACTTTGTTTTGCGGAGGTCGGGGCTTTATTTCTCCAGTAAGGGGACTTCCAAGGTTTGTGCTTAAAATAAGTCCTCCACAGAATACTTAGCAAATAAAAAAAAGAAAAAAGATCCATATTTTCTTTTCTCTCACTTATGTCTGTTTCTTGCAGTAAATGATTTAAATGTACTGTGCTTAGAATGAAAGCAGCATCTCTTAAGTAACAAAAAACAATTGTAGAACCACTACATTATGTTTTTGCATACATAAAGAGCAAAGGAACAGTTGGATTTTCCTATAGCAGCAAGGTGAGAACCTCAGCCACTGCTGAACTATAACCACGGCAGCACAACCCTTTTTCATCTGCTTTCATTTCCTACAACAGTAGACCTTTTGTTGTCAAGCGGTCGGTAGGTTTAGTGCTACGCCCGCTTTTAGTTCAGCATGTTTACTATTCATTTGGTGTCTTAGTCAAACACATTGCTGTTCAGTCAGCGCAGACATTAATGGCTGAAGCATTACTTTAAATAAGGAAGTGGAACCATGTGTCACATGAACGCTGAACAATGGGAGTCTTTGACTTTTTTTCTTAGAATGTTTTATCAGCACAATGTATCTATTGTCAGTGTGTCTGAATCTGTACTTATCTTCTTTTCATTAAATGTTTAAACTAAAACCAGAATGACTGATAATATGCATTCAATTTTAAAAAGCACAATTCAAATTCAAATAGGCTGGCCTCAACCTCTGCTGCTGTAAGTGAGCTGATATATTTTACTATCCAGGTAATAACTTTTTCTGATTTTAATACAAATTCACACAGTGTTAAATATGTGCTACCACTACCTCCCTTATCATTTCCAGCCCAAAAATAGCTCTTATCAGCTTTTGAAATAAAATTATATTTAATTTTGTTCTCTATTTAATCTTTTTTTTCTTTCACCAAGAAGTAAGTCACACAAGGAGACAAAAGTTGAAGTGGATCTTTTGAATTTGGGTTTTGTGAAAACACGTTTAACAAATAATAAACTTGTTGTAATAATATAATTTAATATAATATCTTTGAACAAACTCCATTTTGTAGAAAAAGAGTTTAATTCTGACTGGATTGATGAGCCAATGGCTAGTCTTAAACTAACCCAGACCGAGGTGGATCATTGCCTTCTTGAATCAGTCATTCTCAAAGATTTCATGATGATTCATTTGTAATTTTTAAACCTTTTTGCAGCCATATATATCAGTGCAATCATGAGGCACTTCCTGTAAGAATAGCATAATGTTATTTTCAATAATAATGGTATGATGCAAAATTTTAAAGAATTTAAATATTTTAAATAATAGTATTTTTCTGAAATGCTATGACATTTCTGAAACTGAAGTTCTTTTAAGATGACAGTAATCCCTTTGGTCTTTGATCCATCTGGAACTAACAATCTGGTCAGAGTTAAACTCTTTTTCTCCAATCTGAAGCCCTTCAAAGAGCTATATCTACAACCCCAACCCCACTTCAAAAGATCCAAACTATTTCTTTGAAGCCTGGCAGGCATGGACGCTGACCCAACATGAGGTTTTCACAATACGTTTGTGCACCACTTCTTTAGGTTAACACAGTATTTAGTTTTCACTTTATACACTAAATTTGCAGCTAAACTTCACAACTCTTCTGCCACTTTTGGTTTATCCCAACCTCTTTTTTGTTACACAGGAACCAAGGCATCTCCAATTCTTTGCCGATTTCAGCGACAGTGATGTCTACACAGTTTTATCAGCTAAAAAACTACACGGCGCACCCACAGAGTTTGCCTTCGGTGTTAAGGTAAATTCACACTGTTGACAGGGGATTGCTATCATAAAAAAACTACACAAACTTTGCAAATGAAGCAGAGCTAGGATTCATGTCCGTATATTGAAGTCTGTGTCTGCTTGTAACCCCTCACCCCAGTCTACAAAGTGCAGCTCAGCTCGTGACTTGAAGCTGCTGTGTGCAGATGATGAGCAGACCAAGACCTGCTGGATTACAGCCATGCGCTTGTTAAAGGTTGGCTCGCCGACGAATAACTCTGAGTGATATCTAAGAGGAGGAATGCTGAGTCAGTGCTAGAATCAGATTTAGCTTTGGAAAGAGGTCAAGGGAAACTATTGAGTGATGCTGGATTAGCATTCCCACACTTGACAGAAGCAGCATGTGTTCATTGTCTGGATGGTATATATATATATATATATATATATATATATATATATATATATATATATATATATATACATACATACATATATATATACATACATATATACTTACATATATATACATACATATATACTATCAAACATGTTAGAAGCTTAAGTTTAAATGTATAATATTGACCTTCTGATGTTTCAGTTTGGGATGCAACTTTTCCAAAATTTCATTCAGCCACACCAGAAGCAAAAAGCCTCACCAATGGTAAGCTGCAAGCATCTCAAAATTGCCTATACATGTATGTGGAAACCTGAGGCCATGCATAACTTTTATCTACATCTTTTGGTAGTGATTACACAATGACACTGCAAATATTTTCCATCTAACCAAGTCTTTTATATTTGTATCCAGCAAAAAATGTATTTTGATCGTATTTCGAGACTGTGAAACCACAAGCAGAATGTGTTTGATTATTAATCTTGTTCKCCTGGACATTTTCCTTTTTTTAAAGAAATCTTACCATCTTCATCAATCTTATTGAGACATTTTACAAGATTCAGATTTAAATTAAGTGAAATAGCCCATCAATGGAATAAAACAATTGCACTTGGTTAGACTTCTTGAAATAAGGAAAATTTCCAGTCTAACATGATTAAAAATCTAACACATTCTGCACATGCTTTAAACCTCAGGTGCATTATGAAATACAATATATATAACATAATATATCATGTCTGTCTAAATTCAATCATGTCTGTATTAATTTGCTAATTGAGAATAAACTTTGACGTTTTAGGATCATACGAATTAGTGGTTGTGAAGATATTAGTGACACATTTCTACTTATTTTGCTGACTGCACTGGAAAAAGTAGCTATCTAAAAAATTTAAAAAAATTAAATTCTAGTCTGAATCTTTTAAATTTAAGTGAAATAATCTACAAGTGCAGCAACAACATTAATAATCTAACACATTCTGCTCTTGCTTAGTATATCAGTCTAAAATCAAGATCAAAAAAACTTTTTGGCAGGATATGAGTGTAAGACGAGGCTGGAGGGACCGTCTTTTGTAGTGACAAAAAAATGTTGCAAGGCAAAAAAATATTGGCATTGCAATCCCATGAACGTATTTAAGCTAGTACTTTGTCTACCTTTTTTTTTTAGCTATTACTAAAAGTGGGTGTGTGGAAGAACTTATTTATCGTTCATCTGACTTGAATGTTTCTTCCTTATTTTATGGATACATTCAAACATATTTAGCAATATTATTAACAACAAAAACTTATTTTGATTTTATCATTGTGCTGTAAAAAAAAAGCTACAAAACAAATGTCCACTGTGTTTCTCCACCACGTGCTTCACCTCCTGTGTGGTTCAGACAGTCGCTCGTCTCCCTCACGCTTCACGCTGTGAGAGCATCTTCAGCAGAAAATCTCCTGCTGTGAAGTACACGTGTGAACAACCACTGCAGGAAAGGTTCAGACCAAATTGTCAGCATATTTTCCCAAATAACTCCAGCATTCATGTGTGAAAAGTGCTTGCAGACTTTAGGATTTATTTTTAAAATGTTACCTTTTTAAATCAACAATCCTTGCACTCATATGTATTTTTTTCTGTTGCAAAGTCACTAACAGTCACTTTTAAGTACAATAACTACAAAACACACCTTTCTACTTTAAAACAGGATAGAAGTAACACAATTCTGTAAGACAAAGAAGGCATCTTTAATGTGCTATTGTAGGTTGTGTGTCCCAGAATAATTTCAGACTCTCCTGAGAAGGCAAACAAAATCTATTTATGGTTATGAACATGCTCGTGAACGTGCAGCTTTCTAAAAATACGCAGTGATCAGTTGCTCTCACATTTGACAGCTCATCTCCTCTTCTCTGCTTTTGTGGGGTCATATGAGCCCAACAGGCTTGCCAAGAGGATTTGCTAGAAAGCTAGGAAGATGTGTGAACCAAGCAGATGCAAAGCTGCAATGCTGATTTTTTTTGTGTGTGGTTCTCAGGTTTAGCTGAGAAGAATACAGTTTCACACTAATATATATA